ATATCGGGGTATCGGGAGGGTGAGAGACGTGAGGCGGATGTGTCGGCGTTCAGTTGTGTTTCACAGCTGACGTCGTCTAAAAGGCGATGCAGCAATGCTTATTGCTGTGTAAGGCCTCGCCCGCTGCGCCGCCTCCGTCCCCTCCGCCCGACTGACTACCCGAGCCCAGCCCAGCCCAACCTAGCCCAATCCGATCCGATCCAGTCAATCCCATCAGCTCAGGCTACGTCTATCAGACTAGTCTAGCCCAGGCTATGTCAGACTATTTGTGGCCTGGCGTAGCCAAAACCCACTTCGGTCAACGGAGTTGTCTAGCTCAGGGTACGTCAGCCAGACTTCTAAAGCCTGGCCCAACCTATGTTGGTTAGACCAACACAGGCTATGCCAATCATCCTACTCTAGTCCAGTCACATCATCAACAAGCTAAGTCTAGCTAGAGTTCATTCGACCGGTCAACCCTGCTCACATTTCACCAAACTCAGTCAGCCAAGCTAACTATTCCAACTAAACTAAGGATAGCCCAGGCAGTCGAAACAGTCAGCAATGTCAGACCAACCCAGCCATGCCAGTCTAAGTAGTCAGCATTGTCAGACCAACCCAACCATGCCAGTCTAAGTAGTCAGCAATGTCAGACCAACCCAGCCATGCCAGTCTAAGTAGTCAGCATTGTCAGACCAACCCAGCCATGCCAGTCTAAGTAGTCGCAATGTCAGACCAATCCACATGCCAGTCTATTAGTCAGCATTGAGCAGACCAGCAACCATGCCGGTCTAAGTAGTCGGCAATGTCAGACCAACCTAAGTAGTCAGCATTGTAGTTCAGCAGTAGTGCCAGCATTGTCAGACCAACCCAGCCATGCCAGTCTAAGTAGTCAGCATTGTCCAGACCAACCCAGCCATGCCAGTCTAAGTAGTCAGCATTGTCAGACCAGCAGCCATGCCCTAGTCGCATGTCAGACCAGCAGCCATGCCAGTCTAAGTAGTCAGCATTGTCAGACCAGCAACCATGCCAGTCTAAGTAGTCAGCATTGTCAGACCAACCCAGCCATGCCAGTCTAAGTAGTCAGCAATGTCAGACCAGCCCAGCCATGCCAGTCTAAGTAGTCAGCAATGTCAGACCAACCCAACCATGCCAGTCTAAGTAGTCAGCAATGTCAGACCAACCCAGCCATGCCAGTCTAAGTAGTCAGCATTGTCAGACCAACCCAGCCATGCCAGTCTAAGTAGTCAGCATTGTCAGACCAACCCAGCCATGCCAGTCTAAGTAGTCAGCATTGACAGACCAACCCAGCCATGCCAGTCTAAGTAGTCAGCATTGTCAGACCAACCCAGCCATGCCAGTCTAAGTAGTCAGCATTGTCAGACCAACCCAGCCATGCCAGTCTAAGTAGTCAGCATTGACAGACCAACCCATAGCCTGTCAGCTCTCACCTTGTTATCAGCCGTCTTCCTCTGGGCGTCTGTTGTGTCCCGCTGACAAGCAGATCTGTATCCCCGAGCCCGCTGGCCTTGTTTACCTTCTGCTTCTCTTCCCAGCAATATTTACAAACTTAAGATATTTCCCTCCTGTGTCTGTGTGTGTGTGTGTGTGTGTGTGAGAGAGTGAGTTAAGGTATGTACGTGTGACTGTGCGTGCGTAACCATGAGGTGTAAAATGATGCACTAATTTTTTGTTTCTTTTTTGGTCTGGTTGATCACTGGAATGTTTGTTGTTCACCTCCAACCTTCCCATACAACACTGACCAGCCACTTCCCTCTCCCTCCCTCACATACCAAGACTCGGCGAGTCATATAAATGTCTCACCTTCACCCCTCTCTTCCCCAGTAAACACAACTCAGCCCCTCCCCCACCTGCAGGTAGCCACACACCACGCCGCCCCTCCCCACCTACCCCTTACCACACACAAGGCCGCCCCTCCCCGCTGGTGTACAAGGGACGAACTTTCTCATTAGTTTCTCATTGTTCTCAGCCAGACAGTCCAAGTGTCAATTCACCTGTCCCACTTCTTCATCTCTCTCAGAATATTGTCTTATTTGTGGTGTGTGTGTGTGTGCACTTCCATGTACGGTTGCCAGCAAAAGTCCTCCCACAGCCCTGTGTAGCTGAGCTGTGGGAGGAATTTTGCTGGTAACTGTATAATCATTCCACACAATGACACACACACATTCGCCTTACCCATCCATCTACCCACGCCCACCCACCCATCCATACCTATCCACACCCACCCACCCATTCATCCATACCAACTACATCCGCCACACCCATCCATCTATCCACACCCATCCATACCTATCCACACCCACCCACCCATTCATCCATACCCAACTTCACACCCATCCATCTATCCACCCACCCATCCATCCATACCCAACTACACCCATCCACCCGCCACACCCATCCACCCACACACACGTCACCACACACGATCTGACAATAAATCTCACTGGCCATTTCAGAGATAGTGTGTCCAGTCACCATCGCCCCTTCTTCCCAGACACATTATTATTATTATTAGTATTAGTATTAATAGTAGTAGTATTAGTAGTAGTAGTAGTAGTAACAACCTCGGTGAAAAAAAGTATGGATTCCCCCTGTAGTGGTAATATACAAACCATCCGCCCGTGTCATACAGATAGATGGCGGTGTAGATATATCGACCGAGAGTAACATATGGCCCTAGTAAATACATGATGACTACCCCTCTCCTCTCAACACCCCCACCACCTCCTCCCCCAACACCTAGCTCCGTACAGCTTACCCATCCCCTGACCCTCCTTCACCCACACCTACCTCTCCCTTCAGCACTCACCCTTCCCCAACCCCTTCTAACACTCACCCCCCCTTCCCACTCGCCTCCTTCCCTCCTTCTCCCACCCCCCCTCCCCCAACCTGCCCCCTTCCCTCAGCCACCACCAATAAAATAGCACACAGGTAAATTACTCAACCATAATAAAAAACAAATTATGAATAGTATGTTCCTCAGTGATAGGTGAGATATTATGGTTATAGGAGGCAAAAAAACACACACACACACACACACACACACACACACACACACACACACACACACACACACACACACACACACACACACACACACACACACACACACACACACACACACACACACACACACACACACACACACACACACACACACACACACACACACACACACACACACACACACACACACACACACACACACACACACACACACACACACACACACACACACACACACACACACACACACACACACACACACACACACACACACACACACACACACACACACACACACACACACACACACACACACACACACACACACACACACACACACACACACACACACACACATGCGTCAATGATTCGTATGTTCCCTATAAATCGTGAACGGAGAAAATGCCGTATTAGGGTAGGCCTTTGATACAGCCTACACACACATACAGTACTAAGGAGCAACTATTACAAAAGAGACACTCACGCGTACAATCCAGTCCTCTCATTGCCGTACACAGGCTTTATCTTTGACTACGTGTACATATTTAAGAAGGCCAGCCATTGAGATGTCGTCAAGATGGAGATATGTTCCTAAAAAAAATAAATAACAGTCCTTGACGGGGGTCTACCAATCCTACTGCTGGTGAAGGATGTTATGGGGTTATGTCGGAGGAATAGGATCTGGTAAGGTGTACATATATATGATCCTTCTCTATCTGTCACTATACTCCTCCATCCCCCTCACTATACTGCTCCACTCGTCACTATACTCCTCCATCCGTCACTATACTCCTCCACCCGTCACTATACTCCACCACCCGTCACTATTCCTCCCTCAAGACAACATTCTACAACATGTTCCAATTCCCAGTTACATTCTTCTCTCACCCCTCACCTCTCCATCAACACTTCCCTCCCAAGATGGGGCAGCGGCAGCGTCATTCCATCTCTATAGATTCTTGGTCTCCTCAAAAGACGGCCACTATTCGCCTCTCTCAGATCTATGTCTCGGCCTCATCAAACATCTCTCTGTCTCTTTGTCTCTCTCTCTCTCTCTCTCTCTCTCTCTTCCTCCGCTGTATATAGATTTCTCTCTCCTCTCTCTCTCCCCTACCCTCCTTACGCCTACCATTCTTCCCCTTCTTCAAGTCATCATTACGACTAAGAAATAAAAAAAAAATTGTTGTTTTCATATTTATGTGTTGCCAGCAGCGTGTGTTTATTTACCACAACTCTCTCTCCTCATACACTAAAACTACCTTCAAGTTAATCACCCACACGTTCTCTCTCTCTGACAGGTACAATGTTCCTTTAAGAAATACACGTTTTTAACCTGTGATCAACGGGCTGGTAACAATGTTTGACAATTTCGGGACTTCACACCACATCGGCTGTCTGTACACCCTACCTGACAGCTAGTGTTCCCGCCAAGAAACATTCATTTTTACCTGTCGTCCTTGTGTCAAAAACAGTATTGTGTCCTCTCTCTCTCTCTCTCTCTCTCTCTCTCTCTCTCTCTCTCTCTCTCTCTCTCTCTCTCTGACACACTCCAAGTCCCCTTCAAAGCATAAGAACATAAGAATGGAGGAAGCTGCAGCGGGCCTATTGACCCATACTGGGCAGTCCCGTTTACACCCAATACCTACTGTACGTATGTTGTTTCCTCTCGTCTCTACCACCATTGTCACCATCTGTCATCACCATTGTTACCATGTCTGTCATCATCATTATTACCATCTCTGTCCTCACCAGTGTTACCACATTTGTCATTACCAGTGTTACTAAATCTGTAATCACCAGTGTTACCATCCCTGTCATCACCAGTGTTACCACATATGCCATCACCAGTGTTACCACATTTGTCATCACCAGTGTTACCACATTTGTCATCACCAGTGTTACCACATTTGTCATCACCAGTGTTACCACATCTGTCATCACCAGTGTTACCACATCTGTCATCACCAGTGTTACCACATTTGTCATCACCAGTGTTACCACATCATCACCAGTGTTACCACATCATCACCAGTGTTACCACATCTGTCATCACCAGTGTTACCACATTTGTCATCACCAGTGTTACTAAATCTGTAATCACCAGTGTTACCATCCCTGTCATCACCAGTGTTACCACATATGCCATCACCAGTGTTACCACATTTGTCATCACGAGTGTTACCACATTTGTCATCACCAGTGTTACCGCATCTGTCATCACCAGTGTTACCACATCTGTCATCACCAGTGTTACCACATTTGTCATCACCAGTGTTACCACATCTGTCATCACCAGCGTTACCACATCTGTCATCACCAGTGTTACCACATTTGTCATCACCAGTGTTACCACATTTGTCATCACCAGTGTTACCACATCTGTCATCACCAGTGTTACCACATTTGTCATCACCAGTGTTACCACATTTATCATCACCAGTGTTACCACATTTGTCATCACCAGTGTTACCACATTTGCCATCACCAGTGTCACCACATCTGTCATCACCAGTGTTACCACATATGCATCACCAGTGTTACCACATTTGTATCTGCCAGTGCCGCATTTGTCACCAGTGTTACCCACATTTGTCATCACCAGTGTTTACCCATTTGTCATCACCAGTGTTACCATATCTGTCATCACCAGTGTTACCACATTTGTCATCTGCCAGTGTTACCACATTTGTCATCACTAGTGTTACCACATCTGTCATCACCAGTGTTACCACATTGTCCATCACCAGTGTTACACATTTGTCATCACCGGTGTTACCACATTTGTCATCACCAGTGTTACCACATTTGCCATCACCAGTGTCACCACATCTGTCATCACCAGTGTCACCACATTTGTCATCACCAGTGTCACCACATCTGTCATCACCAGTGTTACCACATTTGTCATCACCAGTGTCACCACATTTGTCATCACCAGTGTCACCACATCTGTCATCACCAGTGTTACCACATCTGTCATCACCAGTGTCACCACATCTGTCATCACCAGTGTCACCACATCTGTCATCACCAGTGTTACCACATCTGTCATCACCAGTGTCACCACATTTGTCATCACCAGTGTTACCACATCTGTCATCACCAGTGTTACCACATTTGTCATCACCAGTGTTACCACATCTGTCATCACCAGTGTCACCACATTTGTCATCACCAGTGTTACCACATTTGTCATCACCAGTGTTACCACATTTGTCATCACCAGTGTCACCACATCTGTCATCACCAGTGTTACCACATTTGTCATCACCAGTGTCACCACATTTGTCATCACCAGTGTCACCACATCTGTCATCACCAGTGTTACCCATCTGTTACCACATTTGTCATCACCAGTGTCACCCATCTGTCATCACCAGTGTCACCACATTTTGTCATCACCAGTGTCACCACATCTGTCATCACCAGTGTTGCCACATTTTGTCGCCACCGGTGTCACCATTTGTCATCACCAGTGTTACCACATTGTCATCACCAGTGTCACACATTTTGTCATCACCAGTGTCACCCACATCTGCTCATCACCAGTGTTACCACATTTTGTCATCACCAGTGTCACCACATTTGTCATCACCAGTGTTACCACATCTGTGTTATCACCAGTGTCACCACATTTGTCATCACCAGTGTTTACCCACATCTGTCATCACCAGTGTCACCACATCTGTCATCACCAGTGTCACCACATATGTCATCACCAGTGTTGCACATTTGTCATCACCAGTGTTACCCATCTGTCATCACCAGTGTCACCACATCTGCTCATCCACCAGTGTTACCACATTTGTCATCACCAGTGTTACCACATTTGTCATCACCAGTGTTACCACATTTGTCATCACCAGTGTTATCACATTTGTCATCACCAGTGTTACCACATGTCATCACCAGTGTTACCACATTTGTCATCACCAGTGTCACCCATCTGTCATCACCAGTGTCACCACATCTGTCATCACCAGTGTTACCACATCTGTCATCACCAGTGTTACCACATCTGTCATCACCAGTGTCACCACATCTGTCATCACCAGTGTTACCACATCTGTCATCACCAGTGTTACCACATCTGTCATCACCAGTGTCACCACATGTCATCACCAGTGTCACCACATTTGTCATCACCAGTGTCACCACATCTGTCATCACCAGTGTTACCACATCTGTCATCACCAGTGTTACCACATCTGTCATCACCAGTGTCACCACATCTGTCATCACCAGTGTTACCACATCTGTCATCCACACAACCTTCTGGTTTACTTGATGATGCCCTTTCTAAAATCATATTCACGTCATCTTTGTATTTCCAAGTTCCTCTGGACTGTTTCTTCTAAGACTAGTTTAAAATCCATCGAAGTTTTTTCTCCTCCCATAACCGTGGATGATACAACAAACCTCTTAAGTACAACTAGAAATACAACGAAGAAAGAAAAACTAAATACGGTAAATGAATACAAAACAAAAGTCTACTCATTCATCTCTTCATCAATGGCACTCAAGTCTGTTTTCGGTGTTGTAAGTTCATCAGGAATAAACAGATCCCAAATGAGATGACATCACTCGGCTGGAGGAACTCCTGTATATTCATAAATACAGTAATTGACACCACTACCACAGTCTCCTTATGTAACGTATTGTAATGAAGAACGTTACTTACTTGTAACTGTCATATAATATTAATATCCTATTTAAGGAGATACTATATTCCCCGAAAGAACTTTAGTCACCACACCCTGACGACCAAGTGTGCTGCTAATTTTGGTATCAATCAATTCGGTGGTTTTGAATTTGCATTTAATTTTATAATTTTTTCTAATTGTTATATGTACCAAAGGTTGTTTGGAAAGTTACTCAATAAGGTGAACGGAACTCGTTATACAGAACATCTAAGATCTGTCAACATCAGGCCACCGCCTCTAAGTCAATATTCAACGTACACAACACGTCAGGTTCATCAGCCTGAGGCGCTAACAACATGGTCATTTTTATCGTGTAACTATACAAGAGCGAAACGCCTCTACCAGGAAAGAAACAGTACCTGCCACCCCAAAATAATCTGGCGTCCCCTCCTCACCTCAAGTTTGTCTGACAAACACGTCAGTTCCCCTCAAAACCGTCATGTCTTCTCATTCCATCCAGGGCCCAAGCTGTGGTGGCCGGTAGGGCGCCAACGAACAATGGCGCGCTTTGTTTTGGCGGGAACCTGGACAATAACAAATGAGTGGTTCGGAGGACTCAATCGATTGTCCCGGCTTCCCCCCGGAGGACCACGGGCGTTGAAGCTTTCCCCAGGAATTTCCTGGTGTTTGGGGGATTTAGGGAGATGCTGTGGGCTATCCCTACAGGATCGTCCTGACCGCCGGATGTGCAGGAGTTTGTATGGTTTTTGTGAGAGTGAGAGAGGCAACTTAAATGGTAGGATTACCAAGACTTTCAACAATTCTTTTTTTATCTTGTCCCAACATAAATAAAACCTATTTTTCTTTTTTTTTCGTAAAAGTAACAATAGCTACAGTATATATTTCCATTACTAGACGTTCAGCACGGTATTGTTTGGATAGTAATAATTATTCCACCAACTGACCACTAAGAGAGTGACCATTGGAACACAAACTGTATCTAATCTTCACCTCCACGAACAGTATGGCTGAACAACCCAGACACATTTTGTGGGTTATTTGCTCAGGTCAGGTGTTTGATCAGGTTGTCTCGCCTTCACCTACAGCACCTGGTATGTGGCTAATTAACCTCCAACACACCTGTCATATAACATCTGTCACCCTCGTTGTTGTACTTTCAGCGGCATGTAGTCGTTGGCGATGACCTGTGACGATATCTTGCGATATATAATTTACTTCAATCTCGCAATTTCATCCTCGACCATCACACACACACACACACACACACACACACACACACACAGTAATTAAACAAACAAACAAATTTTAGTCAACCAACACTTATATATAATCATTAAATTGCATTTTTTCACTTATTTCTAAAACAAGTGTACGGACTTAAAGAGACAAATATCTAACAATATGACAAACAAACAAACAGATTTTAGTCGGTGTGTTAAGCTGCGTGTGGACAATAACAACACATTAGCTGCGGGAATTTAAGTCACTGTTCCTGTCCGTCAGACTACACTCATTTCTGTCACTCCCTGTCTGTATAAAGATAAAAACATACCATCACTTATCTCAAGATGGAACAGATTATGCACAATCGTCTATAACTGACAATCCAAGTGTTTAACATCTCAAATTTTAATAACTCAGATTTTTTAAAAATTTTATTATGTTATTTTCATATATGTCAAGTTGGTGGGTGTTGGTGAGTATCGGAGTGTTGGTGAGGGCTGTGGACACATCCATCACGTCGGGTGTCATCCACGGGCGCTTTAATGTGAAACCTTCTCACACAAACATCGACGAAGATAATGATGACAAGAAGGTGGTCAAGCCCTCGCCAATACTCCGTTCCTGCTTCATGCAAGCCGGGCACAGAAAACCACCATGCCCTCCCATGCCGAAGGTGAAGGAGGGGCACCACCAAAACCACGTGACCTCCTGGGGGTCCTGGAGCCCTTGGTCATCCTGCAGCGCATCCTGCAATGGAGGTCTCAGAATCCGCCACAGAAAGTGTCTTATGGATCCGTGTGTGAAGGGCCGCCACTCTCAGGCGAAGCTGTGTAACACTCAGTACTGTGGCCATGCGTGACCTCCACAGCCAGCTCCCTCATTTTATCTCCTCTTTTCTTTAACTTAATATTCCCACTCAACTCCTCCAGACACACACACACACACACACACCTACAACTTGTTGACGGGTGAAGAAGGAAATAGGAGAAAGGTAACAAACATAAGAAAAACAACTATTTCATTAGTTTTTTCCTAAATTAATAAAGTTTAACCCCTCACCTTCCAGATAGTTCATGTTCCAGCACAAGTAAACCAAACAAGCTGCCCAGTCCTGCACACAGCGAGTCTCTCTGCCTCAAAGTGTCACAGCCAATCGTCTATTTTAGTTTATGGTCCAAAAACTAATTAAAGTAAATTTTTGTTTTATTATCCGCTAAACTTTTTCCCTAAGTTTGATGACAAAAAAAAAAATCCTTAGTGGTCTCTGTAATGGAAGAAAACGGGGAACTGGAAACACACACACGCTCCCATCAGCTTCTAGTGACGTAACAGAGGTTGAGGTCTCTCTTCTCCAGCTACTCTACTACTACATCTACGGGTACATTTGGAGCTCTACGGGTACACCTGCAGCTCTACGGGTACATCTGGAGCTCTACGGGTAACGCTCTTCAAGTTGTAGCACTACAGGTAAGACGTCTCTAAAGAAGCACACATTAACCTATATTCCCCTGACTACCTGTACAGCAGCCACCATACCCGCTGCGGCACCTCACCTGACCTTCAGAGAGCAGATGGTCAGGTGTATAATCTTCCCCAGTTATTATTCCTTCCTAAAATCTTGTCTTCTTCAACAAAGACACAAAACTCTCCAGTCTCCTCAATGACAGCCACTTTGTTAAATTAGCTTCACCTCCTGACAGCCAACCAGCCAGCCAGTCGGTTTAGGCCAGTCTGTCAGCCAGACAGAGAGACAAGAAGCTCTCTACTCTGCCACTAGCAACACCCCTCCTTCACCACCACCATTACCACCTCGGCCCACCATACATCTCCCCACTAACCATAACATAACACTCAATCATTCTACCATTCCTCAGCTCTGCTCCAACGACGCCGGGAAAGAAATCGGAAATCATGAGAGAAGGCAAATACGTCCTACAGTAAAAACAGAATATACGTGTGTGTGTGTGTGTGTGTGTGTGTGTGTGTGTGTGTGTGGTTCCTTTAAGTGGCTTTAAAAAAATTTCAATAGCAACGCCAACCAGGGCTCCCCACAGGCAACGGTAGACCCCTCACCCCGCCTCACAAGCCAGCTCTCCCTTTCCAATTTCTGGAATCTGCTCTCCTGGAAATAAGGAATGCGAACGGGAACCACACAAGACTTCACTCCGACTTCTCGAACGCTCCGGGAATGAACTTATAAAACTATACATTTCCTATAGTATATATTCTGTTTTCCCGACGCAACCGCTCGTAGCCACCTCACAAAATGGTGTGTTCCGGGGTGAGGGGTGGTGGTGAGGTGAGGGTAGGGAGGGGTTAGGGGTGGTGAGGTGAGGGGAGTGTCATGTGGGGTGGTGATGTAAGTTGTGGGAGGGAGGAGAGTAAAAGATTGTGAGATGATGATGGAAGGGGAGGAAGAGGTATAAACGATGAAGAGAAAGGGT